GAATCTTTCTTTGGAACCAGAAACCACGGATTTCGGTATTGACTGTCGCACAGTTCTAGTGTTCTTCTCTGTAGTCTTTCGTTTATCATCTTGAAAACTTCATTTTCCAATTTCTTAGGTGGTCGAAAGCTTGGAGATTGCCAGGCCTTGTGTGGTATTGTTCTTATTTGGTATGGCGGTGCCACTTCTGGTTGAACTCTTCCTGATTCGCTGAAATCAAATGCAATTGCTCCTTCCCTGTTCAACAGCATTTGTTTGAACATGCTGATTTCCGCCGGTCTTAGTTGGGTTCCAAACACTTGTTGCTGAAATCGTTCTGGAGTTAATCGAGTGCCTCTCCTAAAAGCTGCGTGTCTTCTTTCAAATAAGTGGTCGAACGGACCTATGTCCACCGGATTTAGGAGATCAGTTTTTCGTTGCCGTTCCATAGCTCTTTCAATCCATTGGGGATGCCTAAAGTCCATAGGTTCTGCCACTCTTGGTTCATCGACTGGCCGCACTTTGTCTGCTACTCTCTTGTGTAAAGTGTTTGCTTGATTTTCGCCCTGATAGTTAAGGTATGTATTCTTTAGTGTCTTTTCTCTCGCTTGTTGTCGATTCAACTCCTGTAAAATCAGTGCTGTCGGAAGCTCGTCTTCAACATCTAGGCTTCTTGCAGCGATCTTGTGGTATGTTTGCGAGTCGTAATTCCATTGCCGGAATTCTTGTCGCATTGAATCGTCAAACACCCACCCGTACTCACCAAACCCTACATTCATATCATTTGCTCATTGTCCCAGGAAATTGACATATCCCGAGTCGTACTCTTCTTCTGGTTGATTGTTAGTAGTTATCGTGTGGCATTCGTCCCGACTCGGTTTAGCGTGGCATAGTTTCATCCAATCAGATTTCGCAGGGTATCGCGTATCGCTACCCTGCGAAATGTGATTGGACACACCTATCCCACCCCTGCCGTTCTGCCTTCTTTCTGGGATTCTTTTATCTTTCCTAGAGAGTCCACTCCCAGTGCAAACTCCCTCCATTAGTTTTCCGGGCTGGGAATTGCAAGATATCGATGTTGTTCTTTGGCCTTAGGATCCGCCGTCATGAAAGTTGCAGTTCCTGTTCCACATTCCGTCGTGATTTTACATTTGCATTGACCATTTGTAGTCCATGACATCTGTAATCTGGATGCAGAACACCATGGTGCTCCCAATATAATTGACCTTGATAGGTTACTTGTGATCCGAAAGCTGGTGTAGATTGTGACACAACCAACTTTGATTGGCACATCTATAGCCACTCCCACATAAGGATCCACCGAACCATTGGCAGTGACCAAACCTCCGGGTCCGTCAGCTCCTGCTAAGTTATCCACTACTAGGCCCATTGCATTTGCTGCTGATAATCGCATGACGTTCATCATGGAACCACTGTCAATGAGACACCTTGCGCGGCAATCATAGATTTCTGCCCAGCATTCTGGAAGATCTCCTTGAATTAAGACAACTCCAGAGATCTTGTCTTCCATCCGGACTATCTGTTGATTCTTAAGTTGTTCGTGTTCATTGAAAGTATCTCCATAACCAATGATTTTATGTTTTGCAGCAGTGTTTACCTGCCCTACCAGCACTGGGTGGTTGGTTTGAACAGCTGAAATTGCATTGACACTGCGAAACTGCGTGTCTCTTGTTTCAGGAGCATTGTTATTTCGATTTTCGTCATTACCCTCATCAGTATCCTTGATCAATCGATTTAGGATTCTGCGGGTGGGTGGGTTAGACATGATATCTGCCAAAGATATTCCTCGAACTTCTTGCTGTAATGCAAAATTCACAATGCGGTTTGGGTGTTGGCGGAGTAATGCCCCTAGCTGCTTATCTTCTAACATTACGTCCGATGTTTTAGCCTTTCTTCTCGCCGTAGGTATTGGGGATAATGTTGGTTGCTCTTCTCTGACTGCTGCAGTGGGGTGATCAATATCCCTATTGTCTACCGGCCATGCCAGCGGATCTGCAGCTTCTTCACTGGCTGCCCTTGGATGAGTGTCTTGACTATCAGTCACTGCTGGTGATTCTTCGCGAATATCCACTTCCTCTGCAATTGCATTGCGAAGTCGGTTTGTAACTCTTCCTTTGGTTGGGAGAACTCTCTTTTCCACTCTCGTGTTCGGACCTTTCTGAATTGCAAATGTTGTAGCATTTCCCAGTATAATATCATCCATTACATGAGTATTGCTCAGTTGAACACTGCTCACAACTTCGTTCTGGATTCCTTCTGCAAACTGCTGTGCATGTTGACTTATCGTTCCTTTTTGTTTATGGTTTTCCATGCCTGTAATGCTGTTCACCCCTTCTGAATAAGAACTTCCTTCTTCTCTTTTCATGATAGTATAGCCAGGGTTACTGTCTTGTCGAAAACCAAACTTGTTTAAGCGTATAGATGTTGCAACTTCGTTCAGGTTTTCTTTCCTGATCTGAAAATACTGCAACACTTGTGGTTCAATCCATTCATATATCCTTTCGCGAGGGGGATTCCCATCTATTTGTCCCAAGCTTCGATTTCTTAGGCCAAAGAAGTATCTCCATTGGCCATCTTCTTCTCTCTTACTATGCGCCCACCCATTCTTCAGCAATCGAACCCAATCCTGACAGTCCTTCAATAGGTGTCCTGCAACTCCACACATATTGCAAGTCAGGCGATATTCTCTTCCAGATGAGTTCCACTTGCTATCTCTTTCAAAATTGGTAGTTCGCGGTTGGCTGGTTATGTATGAACCATCATTTCGTTCATTCCTCAGAGGCTCAGCTCTTAACTTATGTCTAACCAAATACATGTAATTGGTTGGCTCGCTTAGAAACCGAGAGTAATAGTCGTGTTTACTGAGAATTTCGATTTGACTCATTGTGAGGGTCATGTCAGCCAGATCCTGAACTAGCTTATCCACTTCTGGATCCACGCCTTTTGGTAATTTGGTTGGTTCTTGTCGTCCTACTTCTTCTTCCTGTAGAGCTCTTATCAATTCCTTCGCAGGGGATATCCCCTGCGGAGAGTTGATTGTTTTGAATAACTGAGTTGCTCTCAGTTCGTCAACTTTCTGAGCTTCTGGCGAGAACTGCTGCAACCCAATCTTTTGTACATGCATCTTTTGGGTAAAGGCAAACAACTCTTGGAATTTGAAGGTGTTGATTTGGTCTCCCACTGGCCGATCCTTCTCTGGCATTAGAAACATAATACGTTCCTGGTCCTGCGAGCACAGCCCTTGGAAGAAGTAGTATCCTACTTCTTCCTCACTGATTTGTTTGTTCTTTACTGCAGCCTCTGAGTAAGTAGAGAAGGTTGCATAGTAGAGTGAGAAATCCAAGGATTTTTGATGGCTTTCATAGACAAATTTTGCCAGGAATGCTCTGGTTCCAGTTCGGGTGGCAGAGTCGCTGTACGCATATTGTCTTACTAGCTCTTCTTTGAATTCATCCCATTTTGC